GAGTTGGAAAAAATTGTCTCCCTTTCCATTTACACCACAAGCTTAGTGTGTTTGGTTTAGGAATGCAACCTATACATTGTCAAAGAGGATGAATTCAGAATGGGCAGCCACTGACTGTGCTATCAGAAGCAGCCAAAGTTACGGATTTTTTTTAATGCATGTTGTCCTGCAATTTCGTGCTGTCTGGAAATGTATTCTTGAGTTCAAAGTCTGAGGTACGTTGCCTATTGGCATGACACTTTATTATTTCAGCTTCATCTTTGTAAATTGCTTTTTAATTTGTTTCATGCAATATGGGTGTTGCTGGCCTGACCAGCATGTGTCAATTGCCCTGGAGATGGCAGCAGTGAGCTCACTTCTTGAACCACTGCAGTCCTTGGAATGTAGGTCGATCCTCAATGCTGTTAGGAAAGGAATTCTAGAGTTTTGACCCAACAGGGAGAGAACAGCAACTTAGCTCCAAGTCAGGATGGTCATGGGTTATGGGGAAAAGGCAGGAAAGTGGAGTTGAGGATTATCAGAACAGTCATGATGTCATTGAATGGCAGACTCTACTTGATGGACTGAATGGCCTACTTCTGCTCCTGTGTTTTATGATCTTATGTGAGTGGATTGGAGGGGCATTTGCAGGTATTGGTGTATTCCCATGTATCTGCTGGCCTTGTCCTTTTAGGTGGTGGTGGTAGTGGGTTTAGAAGGTGCATCTTGTGGATAGTACACACTACTCCTACTGAATATTAGTGGTAGAGGGAGTGAATATTAGATGGGCTGCCAACCAAGTATGATACTTTGTCCTGGATGATGTCAAGTTTCTTGAGTATTGTTGGAGCTGCACCCATCCAGGCAAATATGGTGCATTTCATCACACTCCTGACTTGTGTTGGTGTTGGTTAGCTCAGTTGGCTGGACAAATGGTTTGAGCTGCAAGCTGTTGCCAACAATGTGGGTTCAATTCCTGTATTGGCTGAGGGCACCATAAAGGCCCCACCTTCTCAACCTGTCTCTCACCTGAAGCATGGTGACCCTTAAACTCAGCATCAGTCATCTCTTAGAGTGGCTAGCAGCGCTAGGGACCTGGGTTCAATCCCACCCTTGGGTGACTATCTGCGTGGAGTTTGCACATTCTCCCTGTGTCTGCATGAGTTTTCACCAGATACTCTGGTTTCCTCCCACAGTCCAGAGATGTCTATGTTCGGTGGCTTGGTCATGGGAAACTCCAGGTTATACAGTAGGGAGCTGAATGGAATGCTTTTCAGACGGTTTGCATGAACACAATGGGCTGAATGGCCTGCTTCCACACTGTGAGGGTTCTATGATTGTGCCTTGTCGACAGTGGGCAGGTAAGTAAGGTGATAGCATTGTATTTTTCCAAGCTTTGGGTCGAACATAGCACAATGTAACTTCGAGATTAAGGTTTTCAAACACAGTGGCTGGCTGGACAGAATAGATAGGGTGAAACTCGTAAAAGAACCAAGAACGAGGCAGCATAGTTTTAAAATGATGTGTAAACAAAGTAAGGGTGATGCACATAAAAACATTCTCATGGGTATGGGGTGCACTGCCTGGAAATGGGGTGAAGGCAGGTTCCATTCAGGTATGCAGAAAGCATTGGATTTTTTTTTTGCTAGCAATGGTGTGCGGGGATATGGGGAGAAAGCAAACAGTTGGCAGTAGATAATACAGCCAGTGCAGGCATGATGGGCTGAATGGCCATTCTTTCGTGTGCTTCAGTGAGGAATTGCCAGCTGGCCATATTTCCAGCACAGAATAAAGGCAGATAGACTGCCTTGTTTCCAAACTACCGCCTGAAGTTCAAAACGAGCCCACCAGCATCACAGTGAAGTTGTCTGATTAATATCACAACTTCAAACTTTATTATCCCAAGCTTATAAATGATTTGTCACTGAACAGACAGTAATTACTAAATAAAAAGAATATCATCTGGAAATCGCACTGAATTGATTTTGTTTGTTCGCATACTGAAATGCTGAAGTAAGCATTTTATTTTCCAGAATTAGTTTATGCACCAAGCGACCTTTGGAATGATAAAATTATTAACCACATAAATGCCTCTCTGCACTAACGTTTATCAGTGTGAATTTACTGTTTACAGTGATGTCAGGGGTCGAAAGATTGGCCTTTAGCTTGTTCCCCTTCAACATCCCAAGCCCCTGCACTGTGATGGTGAATGAATATCTCACTTGGGTGTTGTCTCCACTCCACGTGATTTTTGCTCTGATGGGCTTTGACTCTACCCGCTGTGGACTATGTCTGCAGATTTCTCCTTTCTCCTTGAGTAAAGGGATCAAGGAGACTACTCCCTGCTGCATTCCCCATGGCAACACCCTGGCCAATCAACTTGTCTGCTCTGAGTTTAATCAACTAACGAAGATTGATAGTACCTGCAGCATCTCCATGACCACCAGGGTCAAACCATTCAACACACTCTTCCCATGCTGTCTAAGTTCTGAAGAAGGGTCCAAACCCAAAACGTCAGCTTTCCTGCTCTTCTGATGCTGCCTGGCCTGCTGTGTTCATCCAGCTTCACACCTTGTTGTCTCAGACTCCAGCATCGGCAGTTCCTACTATCTCTGTCTAAATTGTTGCTCCCTTTCTAAGTTTGGTTCCTTGCAATTCAGTCCTGACAAGTGCAAGATGCAAACTTTTGACTTGGCATCTCTCTTCAGCAGTTCTACCCATTTAATCAGTCCAGCTTTCCCTTCCCCCCTCACTTTGCTAAACCCGATGGGCTGTCTTTATTCATTCACAGGATGTTGCCCGAGCAGAAGGGGTCTCCCCTATTGTCCCTCATTGTCCTTGAGATGGTGGTGGATATATTGCCTTCTTCACCCACTGCGACTTTTGAAGATTACAATTTTCCACAGTGTTTAGATTCAACAGAGAGGCTTGCTTGGCCATTGGTAATGGCAGCTCAAGAGTCAGTCATCTAGGCCAGACTGGCTCAAGTCAGCTGATTCCTTTCTGTGAAAGTCATCAAACATATTTTACCACAATCTGTTAAATTCCTGCTCAGGGTTGGTGTGGCAAAGTGTTTATTCCATGTTGATTTAATTCATCTCCCTGTTCCCATGGTGGAATTTGAAATCCCATCTCCAAATTATCAATCCAAGCCTCTGAACTGCTGGCTCAGCAACATCATTGTTACTTTATTTTGTTCATATTCAACCTTGTGAGTCTTTCAAACTCTCTTCCTGAGAAGGTGTTGGAAGCAGAGTCCTTGAATAATTTTAAGATAAGGGGAGATAGCTAACAGTCAGGGAGGTAGTGGCCTAGTGGTATTATCGATGGGCTGTTAATCCAGGGACCCGGATAATATTCCGAAGACCCAGGTTCGCATCCCGTCACGGCAGATGGTGGAATTTGAATCCCATAAAATACCTGGAATCAGGAATCTAATAATGACTCTGAGTCAATTGTCAGAAAAAACCCATCTCGTTTACTAATGTCCTTTAGGGAAGGAAACTGCCATCCTTACCTGGTCTGGCCTGCATGTGACTCCAGACCCACAGCAATGTGGTCGACTCTGGGCCATTAGGGATCAGCAATAAATACTGCCTAGCCAGTGATGTCCTCATCCTGTTAATGAACAAAGGGGGGGGAAAATATCCTTTGATAGAATCCCTACAGTGTGGAAACAGGCCCTTTGGCCCAACAAGTCCACGCCAGCCCTCAGAACATCCCACACATCTCTGAACACTATGGGCAATTTAGCATGGTCAATCCACCTAGCCTGCACATCTTTGGTCTGTGAGAGGAAACCGGAGCACCTGGAGGAAACCCATGCAGACAGGGGGAGAAGATGCAAACACAGACAGTTGCCTGAGGGGTGAAGTCGAACCCAGGCCCCTGGCACTGTGAGGCAGCATTGCTAACCACTGAGCCACTTGTTGAGCAAGTAATTACTAAGTTATCGGGGTAGGCGGAAATGTGGATTTGAGATTACAATCAGATCAGCCAAGATTGTATTGAATGGTGGAGCAGGGTCAAGGGTCTCAATGACCCCATTCTGCTCCTGGTTTCTATGTTAATGTGCGTTAATAAACAGGGGGTCCCTGATTGACGAATGCCCAACTTCTGAACTTTCATACTTACAAACGCGATTTCACACAAGGCTGTAAATTTAAATAACCTATGTACAAACATTTTGTGGACTTAAAATTGAAAGCTTGGACATTGCCCTGTATTGTGTTCCAAGTTGCACACAAATAGATTTGCAAACAGGCTCAGGAACAGAAACCAACCCAGAGACTGCCTGTAATTCAGTGACGTAATGATTCCTCTCAAAACATTGTGGGTGATTTATCATATGAGCATTATGATTCTAATGTGAGTGAATATAGACCATCTTCTAGATCGAGCTTCTGTACAATTTATATCAAGAGGAATCTGTAATAGATTCAGTTCAGATAGAATCTCAATGTATTCGGAAACACTTACACTGTATAACTGGGGTCATAGCAATTTTCCTGCTAATAAAAGATGGTGAGAGCTGCATGGGATCAAATTGCTAAAAGGAAGACAAGAAGACATTTTATACTGTCATCTCCCACCCACCCAGCCTCAGTGGTCGTGATGTTGCTGTTGTGAAATCCCCGGTGACTTCATGAGGACAATGAGGCTGAGTAAAAGAGTTTCTGTCCACAGACAGAAGTCGTAGCATAGTGGTATTATCACTGAATTAGTAATCCTATAACCCATTTCCTGGAGATGTAGGTTCAAATCTCCCCATGGTGGATGATGAAAATTCAGTTTCATAATCTGGCAAGAAAAGAGCATAATTATGACCAGTATTGGTTATCATAAATACTAATGTCCTTTAGGGAAGGAGACTGCTAGCCTTCGTGTGACTCCAAACCACAGAGTAATGTGGTTGACTCTTAACTGCCCTCTGGGCAAGTAGGTAATGATAGTAAATGCTGGATTGCAACATCCCATGGTGGAAAGTCAAAGTAATAGAATGTTCTTTTTGTGCTTTGCAGGAACAAGGCAAGATCAGCGTTGTTTTCAATGTTGGCACAGATGATATCGTCATCAAGGAGTCCAGCAATGTAGTGAACGATGGGAATTACCACTTAGTACGTTTTACGAGGAATGGGGGCAATGCGACCTTGCAGGTGGACAACTGGGCTGTAAACGAATTCTACCCGACAGGTCAGTGTTACTGCATTGTCTATCTTTACGCTGCTGAGTAAAGGACCGGATGTTGGAAACTTTGAGTTGTGTGAAACAGTGGAATTGTAACAGGCACGCCAAGTCATATTTCAAAGAACAGAATCAGGAGAATGTGGACTCATTATCACAAGGAGTTGATGAAAAGGTAACATAGACATATGTGAGGGGAAGCTAACCATAAATGTGAGGCAGAAGGGAACAGAGGAGAAGGAAAATAGGAGAAGGCTTGTGTAGAATGTGAAAACAAGCGTGGAACATTGGGCCTCTTTCTGAGTTGTAAAGAACAAAGAACAATACAGTACAGGAACAGACCCTTTGCCACTCTGAGCCTGCACCAACATATTTTACCCTTCCATACTAAAACTGTCTTCAATTACAGAATCTGTATCCCTCTATTCCCTTCCTGTTCATGTATTCATCCAGGTGTTTCTTGATTGCTGCTATTGTGTCTGCTTCCACCACCTCCTCTGGCAGCGTGATCCAGGAACTCACCACCCTTTGTGTGAAAAACGTGCCTTGCACATCTCTTTTAAACTTCCCCCAACCGCTCCCCCCCCGCACCTTGAACGTGTGTCCCCTCCATCCTGGGAAAAAGCCTCATACTTTCCACTCTATCCATGCCATTAAAAATCTTATAAACTTCTGTCAGGTCACCCCTCAATCTCCTGCATTCCAGTGGAAACAAACCCATCTATCCAACCTTCCTTCATATCTAAAATCCTCCATACCAGGCAGCATCCTGATAAACAGATAGTGGGAACTACCGATGCTGGAGATCTGAAATGACAAGGTGTAGAAGGGTCCAGACCCAAAACGTCAGTTTTCCTGCTCCTCTGATGCTGCTTGGTCTGCTGCGTTCATCCAACTCTAAACCTTGTCATCTCAGCATCCTGATAAAGCTTTTTTTGTACCCTCTCCAGAATCTCCACATCCTTCTGATCGTGCGGTGACCAGAATTGTACATACTATGTATGCAATACAATGCATGTGTGAGGTCGTAAATGGCTCCCAAACAAGCTGGTCAAGTATAAAATAAATGTAAATCCACTCCTGGATAGTCATTTTAGAACAAAATTCAATGTCATGTACATCTGCTCCTTCCTGACCAACCCCTGAGCCCCAGCAGCTATTCTCTGTACCAGTGTGAATAAGCAGGATAAAAAAAATGAACTCAATTTAAAGCAAATTAGTCCAAATTCGTCAGGTGACAGCTGCTTAAAGGAACGCTAACTAAAGACAAAAACTCAGAGAAAATGTATTAATGTAAATTAATATGTCATTTTGTGCGGTTACTCAGTGTTCTTTCTTTCTAAGTGTTCTATGTGCTTAACTGAACTACACACTTCACTTGTATATCTCAACAATATAATTAACATGCGACCAGGTATGTTATTGCTTAATGGCATTGAGATTAAAGAGAAAACAGAAAAATTCCAACAGGCGGTTTCAATGGGTAAATAAATAAGCCCAAGCTGACTACTGCCAAAGAATAGGATATTAGAAAGGAGAGGTGATGGCCGAGTGGTATTATTGCTGGACTGTTAATCCAGAGACCCAGATAATGTACTGGGGACCTGGATTCAAATCCTGCCACAGCAGATGGTGGAATTTGAGTTCAATAAATACCTGGAAGTAAGAGTCTAACGATGACCATGAATCCATTGTCAATTGTTGGAAAAACCCATGTGGTTCACTAATGTTAGGGAAGGAGTCTGCCATCCTTATCTGGTCTGGGCTACATGTGACTCCAGACCAACAGCAATGTGGTTGACTCTTAACTGCCCTCTGGGCAATTAGGGATGGGCTGCCTAGTCAGCAATGCCGTCATCCCATGAATGAATAAAGGAAAAAAAATTAAAGAAAGCAGCCACAGAGACAGTGAATGCACTGGTAGTAATCTTCCAGGAATCTGTAGATTCTGATAAAGTCCCAGAGGATTGGAAAACTGCTAATAAAACCTTTCTTTAAAAATAAGGGAAGGAGACAAAAATACAAGTAACTATGGATCAGTTAGCTTAATGTCTATAATTGGAAAATGTCAATTATGAAGGATGTAAGATCAGAGCATTTAGAACTACAATCAAGGAGAGTTAACATCACTTCATGAAGGGAAGTTCATGCCTGACAATTCTTTGAGGAGGTACCAAGCAAGATAGTTAAAGCAGTGGATGTCAGATATTTGGATTTTCAGAAGATGTTTGATAAGGTGCCACACATTAGGTTACTTAATAAGTGCCCATGGTGTCGGAGGTAGTATATTAGCATGAAGAGAGGATTGACTAGCTAACAGAAAATAGAGAGTTGGGATAAATTGGGCATTTTAATGATGGCAACCTGTCACTAGTGGAGTGCCACAGGGATCAGTGCTGGGGTCACAAATTTTTATACTATTTATGAAGAAAGCAAACATATTCAAAGTTAAGATAGAGAGATTTTTAATCAGTAGGGGATCAAGGTTATGGGCAAAAAGCAGGAAAGTGAAGTTGAGGATTGTCAGATCATCCATAATCTCAATGAATGAACAGACTCAATGGGCTGAATGACCTCAAATGTTTTAAGGTTAAGAACTAATAAAGATTTATCCCAAAGACTATTTGGGTGGCACGGTGGCTCAGTGGTTAGCACTGCTGCCTCACAGCTACCAGAAACATGGGTTTGATTCCACCCTCGGGCGACTGTCTGTGCGGAGTTTGTATGTTCTCCCTGTGTCTGCATGGGTTTCCTCCAGGTGCTCCAGTTTCCTCCCATTGTCCAAAGATGTGCAGGTTAGGCAGATTGGCCATGCTAAATTGCCTGTAGTGTTCAGGGATGTGTAGATTAGGGGATGGATCTGGGTGGGATTCTCTGAGGGTCAGTGCAGACTTGTTGGGCCAAAGGGTCTGTTTCCAAACTGTGGGGATTCTATGATGATTACCAAAAAATGTGTACAAATATGCCCATCTGCACCTGGGTGGCACTTTTGCTTTCATGTTGGCATACCACCACCTGTTCCACTAAATTTGTGTCCACTTTCAGAAGGCACACATTTGAAATGTGATGGGATACTCCCCACTCACTTAGATGGGTACAGATCTAACAACGCTCAAAACATTTGACAGCATCCAGGTCAAAACATCACTTGATTTGCACCCTATCCACTAGCCTCCATATTCTCCCCAGTCACCACTTACACACAGTAACAACATGGTATACAAGATGCACAACAGCAACCCACCAAGGATTATTTCAGCCAACAACCTGCAAACCCTTGACCACTTCCATCTGGAAAGTCAAAGGCAGCAGATACATGGGAACACCATGAGCTGAAAGTTCCCCTCCAAGCCACTCACCATCCTGACTTGGAAATGCATCACCATTCCTTGACTGTCACTGGGTCAAAATCCTGGGAACTCCCTGACAACGTTATCCTACACCTGAAAGACTGTAGTTCCAGAAGGCAGCTCACCACCACCTTCTCAAGAGCGATTAGAGTGCATAACAAATACCAGCCCTGACACCCACATTCCATGAATAAATAAAAGGAAAATGAGTTGCTCAATACACTAGGCATTCGCTTGAGATTTGTCTTTAATTTTTTTTTCTCTCTTATTCATTTTCATGATGCACATATTGCTTCTCTCAATTTGCACACGGGCTGCCTTTCTGAACTGCTGTGAGTGTACCCCACTCTGGTGCAACTGAATGATTTGCAAAGCTATTTCAGTGGGAAGTTGAATGAATTACTGTGGATCTGGGCATATGTATACACTAGCCTAGGTAGGTTTAGCAGATTTCCATTCTGAATTTGCCAGATAGGGTTTTACACCAATGTCACCATTACTGAAACAAGATTTGAAAACAAAGTCTAGATTTGTTGACCTAACAGAATGCACCTTTCCAGCTGCTGTGTTGGGATTTGAACTCATGTCACTGGTGCATTAATCCAGGTTTCTGAGTTAATGGACCAGCAGCATAAATACAATGAAGCCACACCTGTTTTGGGCATTGGAGGCAATTCAGGGAAGGTTGCTTGCTGAATAGTCTTACAAGGAAAGCAGATTGGGAATTCACTCATTGGTATTTGACCTTTGAGTATAGGAGTTGGGATGTCATGTTGAGGTTGTACAGGACGTTGGGGAGTCCTCTCCTAGAGTACTGTATGCAGTTCTGGTCAACCTGTTATGGGAAGGATATTATTAAACTGGAGGGGGTGCAGAAAAGATTCACCAGGATGTTGCCGGGAATGGAAGGTTTGAGACATAAAAATAGACTGGAAAGACTGGGACTTCTTTCACTGGAGCAGAGGAGGTTCAGGGGTGATCTTATTGATGTTATAAAATCATGAGGGGTATAGATAAGGTGAATGACAAGGATCTTTTCCCTTGGGTGGGTGAGTTCAAAACTAGGGAGCATATTTTTAAAGTGAGATGAGAAGGATTTAAAAAGGTCATGAGGGGCAACTTTTTTATGTAGAGTGGTTTGTGTGTGGAATGAACTGCCAGAGAAAGTGGTGAATTCAGGTACAGTTACAACGTTTAAAAGATATTTGGATCAGTTCATGAATAAGAAAGGTTTCGAGAGATATGGGCGAAGCGCAGGCAGGTGGGACAAGCTTAGTTTAGGGAACATGGTCACTGTGGTGTGGTTGGACTGAAGGGTCTGTTTCTATGCTGTATGACTCTATGGGTCTATTTAGAAGAATGCAAGGTAATCCATTGAGACATTGAGAGAGATTAAAAGGGCAAATCCTGAGAGGATATTTCCCCTCGTTGGGGAACCTGGGACTCACAGGCTCAGTTCAAAAATTAGTGGTCTTCCATTTGGGATGGAGTTGAGGAGGAATTTCTTCTTTTAGATGGTTCATTGTCTTAGAATTTTTTTTTAGTTGTAGAATTTCTACGGTGTGGAAACAGGCCATTTGGCCCAACAAGTCCAATCTGACTCACCACCTTACCCTATTATTGTAAACCTGCATTTCCCATGCCCAATCCAACTAAGCT